ATTATTATATATATATATATATATATATATATATATATATATATATATATATATATATGTGTGTGTGTATATATATATATATATATCATTTGAAAAAATTTTTATAGATCACTTAATGCAAATGCAAGCAACATAAAACAAGAAATATTAGATAGTTTAAAATGTCATGAAGAATTACTTGTATTTGATATATCAAAAATTTTAAGACTTAAAGAGAGATATAGAACAATGAAATTGAAAAGTAATATTTATGTTAAAGGACATACTTTGTCAGAAAAAACTATGAGGATAGCTGTACCAGTTATTAATATTTCAATTTATCTAAATCCAACTTTATCCTTTTTAATAAAACCAGCTATTGTCATTATTGCAATAGGAATAGAAAAAATTGAAATTGGTAATATTATTTTATATATATAATATATTATAATAAAAAAATTAAATTTATATATTATTATATTATATGTAGGAATTGCATTTAAACGATATGTACTGTTGAGAAAATTATTGAGTACAGAATTTGCAATGCCTTTAATAGAAAATGAATCTGTAATAGAATCTGAATGGAAAGAAACATTAAATTTATTACTAAAACAAAATTATATAAGTATTCAAAATAATATATATATACAAAAAGAAAATACTAAAGTTTGTTCTCTTCTCTATAATGTAATATTACCATTTATAGATACAATATACATTACATGTCTTGTTCTATTTGAGGTAAATTCAATATATTCCATGATATTATATGTTTAATATGTAAGTATATATAAATAATAACTTTTTTCAATTATAGTGGGATGAAACAAAATTAAATTATATAACAATACAATCAGTTTTAATTGAAACACAGAAGCAAATAGAAAAAGCATTTCTTGAAAAATGTCAATGGGGAAAACATCCCTATTCTTTATCAATTGATTTAATTAATACAACAATATCCAATTTTATAATACAAGGTATTCTAGTACCATATGAAAAAAAAGGTACATATCAAGTTGAAAAAATTAAAATAATACAAATTCTTACACAATTGCAAAATCTTTCATTAAAACATCCATTAGGTTCATATCGTAATGCAATTTTATTACCTATATTATCACCATCAGTTTCTTCTAAATTATAAAAATAAGATAAGTTAAAACAATGTTGAATATATTTTTTAAACACATTTGAAATTATATAAATAATTATTTTAGATATAAATAATTACTTTAAATTTTATTATTTAATATAATTAGATACAAATATTGATCTAATTAATATATACATTTTCATATATTAGATTTTTTTTTAAATTTAGAAGAAAAATTATGTATATCTTTAAGAATCATTCTTATATCGTCGTCAAATTTGCCTACTGATTTTTTTCTTCTGCCAAGAAGTAAAGTAGCACCAGTAGTCGATGCAGAATTATTTATATTTCTAAATAAAAGCTGAAAAAATTATTGAATGCAATAAAAAATATAATTATTATTTATAATAATAAATATTAAATAAATGATTAATTACCATAACTAATCTAACAAGATACACAGCAAATGTAAGAAATGAAATAGCCATAAGTGCACCTTCTATGGATGGAAATCCTGCTGCATGTTCATAATCATAATTATGATCATACTGATCAGTACCCCTTTTTTTTCTAGCAATTATTGTACTTGCTACAAGTTGAACTTCTGAAAATATTATAAATAAATATTTCATTACTATATTGACATGTTATATGGATTAATTATTTATTATATTATTATTTTTATGTATTACCTATTTCAGAATTAATGTATTTTCAAATGTCTTCAAAAATTGAATTTTTCCATCATTTGATGCAGATTGAGATTTTAAAGTATAATGAACATTTTCAAGTATATCCACTGGAAGATAATTTAAAAGTCCTATATCATTTGCAACAAAAAATTTTATTTAAAGATTGTTCATTTCTTTTTTTTTCCTAAAAAAAAAAACAAATTACTATTATTCTCATAATTAAACTAAAGATAAAAAATTTTAAATTTAATTTACTTTAGTTAATAAAGAATCTATTGTTTCATTTTTGTTAAAATATTTTATAATTATAGGTTCTTCTTTGTTATTATTTTTTAATTTATAAAAATCATATTCTCCAGTTTTATTAGTTGCTGTTTGTTTTCCTTTTAAATTTTTATAAGTAATATTTTCATATGTATAAAGAAACTGATTTTCCTTTTGAGTATATTTATAAAAATGATCTTGTTTTATAGGTATTCTACAAATAATAAATGTAAAATTTCAATAAAAATTTAATTTTAATATATATATTATAATTTTGTATTGTTTAATTAATAATGTTTTATATGTACTTACTTGTATATTTTTTCTTCATTAGAAAATTGGGGCATTTCTATCCATTCTGCTAAACTAGAATTCAATAAAAAAATCTTGAGTATTAATATATTAATTATGAGCATTGTATTTTTTATATATATTTTTTATAATAATATTTGTATATGTATATATATATATGGAATAATATATGATTTGAATAAAAAAAATAAATAAATATTGTCCTTATTTTCAGTTATACAGAGTTACAAACACTAACTAAAGATGTACTTGCATTATCATATAGTGTGACAGAAGTCAGGATGTTATTATTTCAAGTAGAGATTCTGTTAGATTTAATGAGGACAAAGATTGTAAATTGACATCAATTTACTAAATATTTCTACAAAATTTTGTATATAAAATTTTCATTAAAAAAATTTTTTTATTTTGAGAAAATATATAAATAATTATAAATTTTATTAATTAATAATTTATTTATTCACATAATAAGTACAATAATGAAATAACAATAAGTTTTAATGAAAATTTGTTAATTATACATAAAATCTATTATAATATTACTGTCTTTTTTTAAGTACTTTTGTATGTTAATTATAAATCATATTATAAACTAATTTAAAAAAATACATTGTTAGTTTTTATAAAATATAATGCTTATAAATGTTTTTAAGTAATATAAAATTTTAAATAAATTTAATATATACAAATAATTAATATAGATAGAATAGAAACTTAATGTTAAGTATTAAATTATTACCAATCTAAAAAGATAATTTTAAATATAACAATATGTATTGATTATTGCACAAATCTTTTTATATGTATATAAGTGAAAACATTTGTGGAAAGTTTATTATAAAATTATAATAACAATTATACATGTTTTAAATTCATTATCGCAACATTGACTATTTTAATATACTATTTTAATATTCTTAATATGAATTTTTATTATTTTTTTTTATTATTTTATTATTTTTATATTCATTTCATTATTATATATTATTTCTAATATTCATAATATTTATAAATGTTTTAGAAAATAAAAAGATAAAGATAGCAATATGTTATATTGTATTTATTATGTAATTAAAATATTTTTTTAAACTTTTTAAAAAATATAGGCCATATTTGTGTACAATAATTAATTTGATGTTAAATTAATTACATATAAAAAAATATATCTCAAATAAAATATAGGTATCTAAAATAAAATAATTAGGTATTTTGCAAAATTTTTTAGGTATTTTTATGATATTCAGTTAATTAATTGATATATAAATAAAATGGCATCATCTATATTTATACATTATATTCATAATACTTATAAATGATAAAAATTATTTGTTTTAAAATATAATATTCTATTTAAAATATTACTATCTAAAAACAAGTCAATCATTATAAAATATTTATCTAAAAAATAAGAAAATACATTTACATATATTTCTGAATTCAAAAAGAATAATAAGATTATTTTTTAATGAAAATTTTCTGATTTTAAATTATTTTTTTTCTATTACTATATATTGATATTATCATTTTTATCATCAATAAGAAAAACGCATAAATATTCTAATTAAAAAATAATTTTAAAAAATAAGGTAATTTTAATATAATGGACTATTAATTTTTAAGATTGTAATATAAACTAAAAAAAAATATTTTCAATTTTTAATAAATGTGTATATATATATATATATATATATATAATGTATT